AAACAAGGGCATATGCTTTTCTGAATCCTTTAATATTTAGCTATACCATGCTAGCATTGTTGGAATTACTAAGGATGGTTGATTGAGTTAAGTCAATGTGGTTGTTGTACATAATCCTTGGATATGGGTTTTAACATTTTCTTTCGCTTTGTTTTGCAGTTTTTCCCCAAGAAGGGAGGTACACCAAGGAAAAATGAGATCGTTTTCATTTCTCCAACAGGGGAGGAGATTAATAATAGAAAACAATTGGAGCAGTACTTAAAATCACACCCTGGTAACCCTGCAATATCAGAGTTTGATTGGAGCACTGGTGAAACCCCTAGGAGATCAGCAAGGATCAGTGAAAAGGTCAAGGTGGCTCCGGCACCAGAGAGTGAGCCTCCCAAAAAAAGAGGCCGAAAATCATCAGGTTCAAAGGACAACAAAGTGGAAGCTGCTGGTGGAGAAGTTGATGGTACGAATGAAATTCAAATGAAAGATGCAGAGGTAGCTGAGAAGAGAGATGCAGAAGCTGAGAAAGAGAAAGATGTGGAAGCAGAGAAAGAAAAAGATGCCGACGTTGAGAATGATGATAAGAAAACTCAAGGCGAGGAGAAAAATGAAGAGAAAAATGTTGTAACAGAGGATAAAGCTGCTACTGAGGTAACTAAAAACAACAAAGAAGAGTTGCCACAAGCAGGGGAAGAACAAGCAAATGGAACTAGCGGCAAAAAACAGGATGACACAGCTGCTGTGACTGTGGAAGAAAATGGGGCTGCGGAGAAAGAGAATGTGGATGCAGCAGCACCTCATACGGAGGAAGAGATCAAAGGGAATAACGATGGAGCAGAGAACAGTGGAAAATGCAATGCTGAAGCTGACGAGAAAATCAAGACCAAGGATGGGAAGGTTGTTGAAAATGGCAAGGCTGAGCAAGTGGTGCAAGCTGATGCCCCACAAAATCTACAGACCCCTCCATTGAGCAGCTGAACGTATCTACCACCTTTCTAGTGAGCTGTTGAATGTGCTGTACTACCATTTATCGCACTTAGGATTCTGTGACATCCATTTAACCCTTTTTTTTTTTTGCCCTCCCTTGTTACAGTAACTCCGGGAGTTAAGGATGATATAATGTTAATGTTGTTAATGTTAGAATTTAATTGTATGTAGGGAACCAACCAGTCCGGTAGAAGAATAGGTCTTGTAGTTTCTGCAGCTATAGTTATGCAGTAGCTTAGATTGTAGAATGTAAGAGATCCTTACTGGGCCGGCTGCTTTTTATTTGTTGTAGATGGTCATCAAGTGCGCTTTGTTTGTAAACTTGATACTTTGTTAATGCGGCTGAAGTTTTAAATGTCCTGGGGTGCTTGTGTTTCTCAAAATTGAGTGCTATTTCGGTTTTGGA